ACAGCCATAGCAGTAGTCAGAGTATCAGCATTTTTGCCCTGGTTCCCCAAATCGTAATTCCTCCAAGGTGATGTGAAGAGGGTCAGATGATACCTGCACATACAGTTGGCTGCATTATAGGAGAGGGACCCTGAGTTTAGGAGTTCTTTTTACATAACGAATCTTTTATAAGGCATTCTAAACATTTGCTCCAGAGAGAGATGTAATCTGTCTCCTCCAAGGCTGTTTGCTTTACAAACACTATTGTAAACATAGTTTGTAACAAAGGGCAATAAGTTCCTTGCTTGCAAGATGTGCAGAAAGGGGAAAGACCCATGGAAAAAATTTTCCAACTAGGGCCAAGGATTCAGCACTGTTTGTAGTAAGCAGCAAACAAACCTGTGTCCCTCATCTAGGAAGTGAGTAGTCAGTCCAACAGTAGTCACACTGTGGTTGTTTGTACTACTTAGTGGCCTATGCCACAGGCTATCAGGGGATGGTTTAGACCTTGCCATTTGGTACAATCAATGAGGATGTGCAGGAGGTGCTCTGGCCCCGTGGGAAACTGCCTCTGTCAAGAGCATATGGCTATCAATTATTTCCTTCTCTGACTCTTATGAGCTCTAAGATTGACATGGCCATGTTCTAATGAAGTCACTGCTTCCATTTCAATATCTGGTTTTTCTCAGTAGGAATCGAATTGGTGTTTGTGGGGGATCATATGAGGGTAGTTGTTTTAGTCCATTTTGTGTTGCTATAACAGAAATACCTGAATTTATAAAGGAAAGAGGTTTATTTGGCTTACGATTCTGGGACAGCTGCATCTGGCATGGGCCTCAGGCTGCTTCTACTCATGGCGGAAAGTGGCAGGCAGCCAGTGGGTACAAGCAGATCACATGGCGAGAGGAAACAAGAGAGAGAGAGAAGGTGCCAGGGTCTTTTTAAGCAACGAGCTCTCACGGGAACTAATAGAGCGAGAACTCACTCATTAATCCCCCCTCCCCCAGGGAGAGCATTAATCCATTCATGAGGGATCCGCCCCCATGACTCAATCAGTTTCCAACACTGCCACATTGGAGATCAAATTTCCACATGAGGTTTGGAGGGGACAACACATCCAAACTCCATCAGTAGTTCGAAAAGTTTGTGGAAAGATTCATATTATCTTTCAATTCTCTTTTTCCACAAACTTTTTGAAGTACCCTCTTATTAGAGATGCTATTATTACAGGTAAAATATATTGATATTTTGAAGTACGGTGGGTTAAATAGGATGATTTTCAATTTTTCTTTCACATAATAGCTGGCCTTTTTAGGTTAGGGAGTTGACTCTATTTCAAAGGACATGCAGGGGCTCTGGTTCTTACTGTTTTATTTTTCTGCCGTCCTCTAGGGCATGGCTGGGCAAACTTCTTATAAAGGCCCAGATAGTAAATATTTTAGGTTTTGTGGACCATGCATTGTTACTGTCCCAACTACTTAACTCTGTCATTGTAGAACAAAAGAAGCTGTAGGTAATAAATAAATGAATGGGTGTGGTTGTGTTCTAATAAAACTTTATTTACAAAAACAAGCATTGGGCTGGATTTGGCCTCTCTGTAGTTTGCTGTACCCTGCTCTAGGGAGTTGCCTTAGTCTGTGTAGTTGAATCTAGTTGCTGCAACATTCATGTTCCAGATCAAAGGAAGGGGAACAAGGACAAAATTCAGAGAAATATGCTTGTGTTTAAGTTATAGATGATTTGGAAGTTGAACATTTCACTTTCACTCTGATCCTAATGACTCAATCTTACTCATTGATGTGAGAGAGGCTGGTAAATCTGTTCTCTAGCTGGGCAGTCATGTGCCATGGGAGCAGGGGAGAGCAAAGGTTTTGGGGCACAGTAGCATTCTGCTATACTGCTATGATGTCTGTAATTTATTTTAAACTCCATCAGCACAGACAGAGACACATAAATGCATGTGTTAGTTTAACCTACATTCTAGGCCCAGGCAATTGCTCTTATTAGGAAATGACACTCCAAGGATGGCTTTTAAAAACATTTAGAACTTTCCATATCTTAGTCAAGACCAAATTCTTTAATAAGTGGGTTTTTGTTGGTGAAATTAGTGGTTTATTATTTATTATTATGGATATTAGAAATGGATGCTTATTAGTGAAATTAGTGCTATTCAGGATATTTGGATTGGCTAAAATATATCAGAGACTTTTTACTCTTGTTTGAACTAGATGTAAGAATCAAGTGAAGTATTTATCTTTAGGGACGGTGCTTTATAGAATCCCAAATGACCTGGTATGCAGCTATGGGGGTGGAGCAGTTCTGGTTGCCTGATAGCAACTGCCTTGGGTTGAATGTCTCCCCCAAATTTAATCCCCACTGTAACTGTTAAGGGTGGGAAATCCTCTTATGGTAATGAAAAGGTGGGACCTTGAAGAGGTGATTAGATTTAGGCCCATGCTGTCGTGAATGGATTAAAAATGGTGGTCATGGGCATGGTTTGGAGGGCTTTAAAAGGAGAGTGATTGACAAGGTTAGTGTCTGTCTCTGCTCTGCCATTTGCAATGTGAGACCACTGCGTCACTGCCACCACTACCAAGACCTTCACCAGATATGTTCCTGGCACTGTAGACTTCCCAGCCTCTGAAACTGTAAGCAGTAAATTTTGTTTTCTTATGAATCACTCAGTTCCAGGTAATTTTGTTATAAGCAACAGAAACGGACTAATACAACTCTAAGGGTATCAGAATTCTGCCTTGGGAATATTATTTTGCCTCCTTTGAGTGACCCTTTCATGCAAGATGGTAATCAGACAAAAATTGGGACTTTATCCCATTCGTAGAACGGGTTGTGTGAACTGTTTTTTGCTTTCTTGCTGAGAAATGTTTGCTTAATAAATATCTTTATGTGTGCTTGAATTTGGACTTAGATTTGCTTTCATTATTACTTTTTAGCTAGGTGGGGTGGGGGTACAGCTAGCCTCACCCATCTGAAACTCTTTTGGTGTCCACTGTCATCTCCAAAAAGAACTTGAATTGTTGTGCATGACCAACTTGGCCTAAGTTTTTCCACAACAAAGAGAACCGTTTATGAACTTCGACACTACCTGGCAATCTTACTAGATTTCTCTAGTCAGTTGGCTCTTTCCTGCTCCCAGTGGGCATTTCCAACTTTTTCCATTCTTCTTCCACCAATGATTCCTCTTTCCTTACTTCTGTCAAAAGGCGATCTTGTCTTGCTTCATAGATAACACAGAAACTGCCAAAGGACAAAGACTTTAATTTCAACCCAATCTGTAATTTCAACCAAATCCTAACTACATTTACCCCCATTCTTGGCCTCTTCCTGTTATTTAGAAGGAGAAGGATACTCCTGATCCTGTCCCTGCTGCTTTCTCTGTAGTGATGGCTCTAGAATTTCTCGAGAAGAGCTTCCAGGCAGCACAATGCTTGGGGAATGGGGGGTTTAGGGGGTTGTTTTGGAGTGCATTGCAAGCTTTCTTTCTTTTTTTCCTCTTTGAAGCCCTGCTTGAATTTATAATGTGTGTGAGAGATGAGTTCTATTCCTCCCCTCTTCAATGCCCTCCATTCCTCTTGGCTCTGCCACTACTTGTCAGAAAACTTTTACTGTGAATTATTTCATATCTCAGGTCTTTTTAGCTCCTTACTTTCCACAGTTTCCTTCTCAAAGGCATTTGTTCAAGTTTTTCCTAAGCTATTAAAAGAAAACAAACCCAACCATTTCTCAGCTATCACTGTATCTTTCCCAACCTTTAAATCCAACCATATCAACAATCCCCTCCCCACTCCTACCCTTCCATTCTTATCTCTGTTTCTTCCCTAGCTGTATTCCACAATCTTTTTCATTGTGTGCTGGGCACCCACCAGCTACATTGACATGGCTTTTACTAAGGTGTTGCTTGAATACTTGGTGTCCCTTCCCCTCCTGCATTCCTCTTCTCTCTCCCTTGATGTTTCCACAAGGGGTCAGTGGTATGAGAATATAGTGCTAGTCCTGCTGTTTTCCATTCTTTTGTTGTTTACTGTATCCTCAGGAATGCATCCTTGCAGGACAAAGATTAAAAAAAAACTTTGTTTTGGTTCCAGGATTGATTCAAGACTAGTTCCCTTTTGTGATATGAAAACTGGGAGTTTTGTAACTGGCAAAAAATCTATTCCCTTTTTCCCTGTAACTTTTAATTTTTAGTTTTAGCACTTTGAAAATTTTGTAAATTATAACAGAAGAAAAATAGTAAGGTCACTAATTCTACCATGCAAAATAACCATGAATAAATATTCTTGGTGCTATACATGTTGTTTTACAAAGTGGAATCAAAGTGAATATAATATTTACTACCTTAAAAAAAAAATCATTCTTTGTTTTCTGGGGATCAAATTACCTTTCTTGAAAGGATGTGCCGGAATGCTAGTCTTCTGAAACTTGTCTGTCTCTGTAGACACAGAGGAAGGAAGAGTTCTGTAGTTCTGTTTTTGGTTTTGTTTTCTGGTTTTTTTTTTTTTTTAAGAAATAGGATTTTATCTGGTTGTTTGATTTTTTTCCCCCCCAATTCTTTGAATTTAGATTGATGTGGTTGGCTTTCCTTACTTTAACTTTTCATTTGTTAGTAATGTTTGGAGGATTTTAGTTAGATTTGGTGGATACTGAAATCTGTATGGATTACGTGAGGCATTGCTATTTTCAGGCAAGGAACACATTTAATCTGTATTATGTATCTTTATAGCATTCTACCCAGTGTCTTGCATTGAACGATATCACAAGGAAAACTCACGTACTCATGGTCATGGTAAATAGTGTCCATTTGTCTGCAGATCTAATTGAATGATAGTTTTCAAAATATCTCCAGGCATGAAGAAACATCTTCAAAGCTGCTCTCTTCCCTATCTTTCTCAGTCTGTACTAGTTTAGAAAGTATTGAAATCTTTCACTCAGACTTTCACTTGGACAAAGCTTTTCACTTAGTTTATATGCTAAATATACCATCTGGCCTAGTACTTTTTAACACTATGACGCAGTCTATTTCATCAGGGTATTTTGGGCATATAATTCACCAATATAAACTTTTTAAATTAATGCAAAGTTTTAAAATTCAGGCACATTTTTAAACCTATCTATATCCAAGCATTTGAATTTGTTTTAAAATTGCCAATGAGGAATATGATTTTTTCAGTCCTGTAAGTTGAAAAACACACCTTTTGTTCTGCCAACTTATTTGGAAAATAATAGGCTGATACAAGTAATTTTCCTCTAAAGAATTAAAAAAATTCAAAATGTAAAACTGCAGATGCTTGAGGAAGAAACTAATAATCTGCTTTATAGACCTCTATTGGTTTTCTGAGAATGGAAAAGGTTATAAAGACTGACTACTTTATTTAGTATTAGTACTTAAAATTCTTTTTCTTTTTGAAACATATAGTTAGCAAATCCTACTTAATCGATTACTTTATCTCAGTTTACACTTTCCATGATTATTTTATTTTTCCTTTGCTATTAAAATATATAAGAAGGAATTTATGTTTTTCAAGATATTGAAATTTTTGAAACATAAATACATCTAGTTAGTCTTGGCAACATTAAGTCTTCAGAATAGCATCTTCACTGCTTGAATAGTTTGTTTTGTATTATTAAGCCTAATAAAACACTTCATGCATTTAGTACAACAGTAAAATTGTTATTGTTTCAAATGTTTTTTAAACTATCCTTTCCAGGTTGACTCATAAGCTTCTCTTTGAGAACTATGGTGGCAGAGAATTCTAGTTTTTTCTTTCACAAGGCTTTGCCCAGCACTTTTGCTAGTACTGACCCTGGGCTTAACTGTGTGTTTCTTGAGATGTGAATATACCCTTCCCCTTCAAGTAAGATTTGTTTGGGAAATAGAAGAAAAGAAACCAACCAACTCTTTAGAAACAGTTCCTGTTTAGCCCTTTCTTTGTAAAGTCCTTAGGCAGTTTTGACCTGCTTTTGATGTGTAATTTATTCATATGTTTATTACGACAGTATTAATCATCTGCTAAAATATGTTAGGCTCTGACTTATTTCTTGGTATGTTTACAAAGAGTTTGTGATAACAGGAAAAATGCCCATTATGATAGTTAAAAAACAAAAGGACATAAAATTATATATGCAGTATTGTTATAAAAGTGTATTTAGAGAAAAGACTGGAAGTAGAAAAGTCAAAATGCTTATTAGGATTTCCTCTCCTTTTTATTTTTTGATGCATATTCATTATAGAAATTTTGGACATAAACACACATATGTGTATGTATATCTATTAATTTCTTTTCCTCCATACAACTGTTGGTTGCCATATGTATTGCTAAGATTGAGAAGACTTCATTTGAGTGTAGTTAGATTTTTACCTCAAAGACAATGACTTAATGTTGCAACTTTTTTTTTAACCTCAGAGACAATGGCTTTCACATGTAATAATGAAAGTTATTAAATAAATTACCATCCAAGCGTATCTGTGAGTTACGAAGCTTTTAGCACTTAACACTATGCTAGGGGAGATTAGAAAAAAAGAATTTAGGGCATAGTCTTTGCCTTCTAGAAGCTTATGATCTGGTGGAGGAGAGTGAATAAATCATAACAGACAGTCTGTAAAGCAGTTAAAATGAGATTTCTGGGTAGGATGTGATTAAATGGCAAAATTTGCACCAAATACTATTGGAATTCAGGTAAAAGGAGATTTATCCAAAGCCGAAGTATTTGGGGAAGACCCAGTGGTAGAAGTGAAATTTTAAGTGCATCTTTAGTAAATAGTATCTGAGAGAAATAAAGTATACAGTGTAAATATGGATTTACCTTTAAATGAAGAATTTATCCCCACCTGGCTAATGTGTTCTTAAAGGATTATTAAGTATTCAATTTCTTTCTTACAAAAAAACCACAACCACAATTATAACAACAAAATTGATAATAATAGGATATGAAATGGGCAGAGGGCAGTAGAGGAGGGGGCATCCTGATCTGAGGGTAGAAGAACGACTTGAAGTTGGGAGTAAGCCAGGCAATGATGACCATGAGGAGAGCCTTGCTTCAAAGTCAAGAATATTTAGAAGCCCTTTGCAAGCATGGCTGCCTTTCCTTGCAGTTGTTACTAAAGGAATTATAGAGTGTATATATTTGAGTATTCTGTATTAAGATATTAATCTGTAAATCTCTTGGACTTTACCTTTCAATACATAGTATCATTTTTTTAGTTAGTTGGAAAATATCAAATTGATAAAGAGAATCCTGAGCTTTCTAAAAGACTCCTTTTTTTTTTTTTTTTTTTTTTTTTGTCTTTTGTCTTTTTTCCGTGTCCGGCAACGGATCGCAACCCTCAGTGTTGCCTCCGTACCGGACCGGGGACCGGCAACGGGATCGCAACCCTCGGTGTTGCTCCCGCGCCTCGCTCAGCCAGTGAGCGGGAACTGGTCTGTATGTGGGATCCGAACCCTCGGGCGGGAGCGCCGCCGCGCTTCCCAAGCGGCGCACTATCCATTGCGCCACCGGGCCAGCCCTAAAAGACTCCTTTTTAAATTTATTTTTTTTTAGATTTCATTTAAAACAAAATATTTTTAAAAAATCACTTCACAACTGAAGACTCTAACTTAAGAAATACTCAAAAGTATCTGCCACTATAGACGACGACTTCTTTTTTTTGGTGAAGGAGTGGGTCATATATGTTCAGGTATATATATATATGCGCTCCAGTTTTATATACCTGCCTTTAAAATAATTACAATCTGATTGGGACTTCCTTAAATTGGAAAACTGTTTTTAAAAAAAGCCATTTCAGAGACATACTACTTCCTTCATCATTTCAAAAGAATAGATTCCTTTTAGAACTAAACAAGTTACTCTTTTCAGTGTTGAATGCCTAGACTCTATTAAGCAAAAATAAATACATTTAAAAAACATTGTAGAGTGAGTAGTCTTAGAAGTGGAGTATACATTCTTGAATTTTGATTAGATTTGGAACTTAATACACATATCAGTTCTTTTAGGAATAAATGTAAAATGGATGAGGATTGAATGTGAGAGGATTTAAATGATTTTCAAGATTTTCTGGTTCACGTGTTGTGATATTGAAGTCTTTAGTCCCAGGCTTTAATTTGTGCCTGGTGCTGACCTGATGCTGTGCGGGGACACTCACTGCATCCCTCCCTTCGGTCCCTCTAATTATCCCAACTTCCTGGGGAGCTTGCTGAGGACTGGGCATGAGTGCTTGTTATGAAAATATTGGGCTACCCTGGCAGCTTGTAACGAGGTAGTTTTCGATATAGATTTATGTACAGATGAACAGAATAGGAAGCTAAAGTTGCTTCCTGTGATTTTACTTGAATAGGTAGGGGATGTTATGGAAATTATTTGGTTAGACAATGGATTAGTCTTGTAATAATTGAAATCACGAGTAATGTAGTTCTTGAGCTTATTTGTTGCATTGTTGTTTTTTTAGTGCATATTGAAAGGGAAATCTGACTCTATAAATGATGTGTGAAATAATCAGATTTGTAATTTTGTGTATATTTGCGGATGATGGTAATTCTTTTTGCTGGGCACATCTGTTAACACAGAGATGTGTCTCTTCAGGTTCACGTGAAGATGGCGGATGAGGCCGTCTGTGTTGGCCCAGCTCCCACCAGTCAGAGCTACCTCAACATGGATGCCATCATGGAAGCCATTAGGAAAACGGGGGCCCAAGCTGTGAGTCTGAATGAGTCTATCTACTGCAGCTGTTTCATATGTAGTGAGCAGAAAGCTAGAGTTTGTATTTAAAAAAAAATAAGAACGAACGATTGAAAATGCTGTTGCAGTTAGTTCATGTCACATGAGTTAAATGTGGCCGAATTCGCTACTGGAAATCAAAGGCTTTGTAGCATCTGGCAGTGCTGGTCGCTGATCCTGCAGGTGGCTGCTGGATTCAGCTTTCACACCAGGGAGCGGTTTCAGTTCATTTCCAAATTTGCTAGGAAAAAAAGAAAACCCAATTAGTTTTGAGTATTAACCCTTTCGGTGTAGTAAGAGCATTGAAAAAAAAATTCTGTTATAAACAGGATCCAAAAGGTCTTGTTTAAATTCCATTTTGATAATTTAAAAATTATGTATATCTACTTACACTTCCAGAAATAAAAATGGTGCATTTGGTAATTATTTTAGTTTGTTAATGTCAATAGGATGCCCATAACTTACATGAATAAATCAGTAGTTTGTTCCATCCCCAATTCTGTTTGAATGGAGTGGCATTCAAGGAAAAAATAGGTTTTTGACATCAGAAAACTGTTTTTTTTTTTTTTTTTAGATATCAAAGAACTAATTACATTTAATGTTAAAAACTGTGCAGAGTTATCTCTAAAATTGGATGGAAGCAGCCAATACCAGCAATTAGCCTGGAGGGCTTCAATTAGTGTTCACATTTCTTTTGAAAGAAATGTTTTAGTAAGATGCATGTTTAAGTAAAAAACTGAATTCATGAACCCATATTATAGATGTTTACAGTTTATTAGCACAGTTAATGAAGGTAAAACTCTTTTAACCTTTTAATGACACCTTGTCAGAATACAATCTTTAGTTGAATGTTACATATAAAATGAAATTGGAGGAATGAAGCTCTTTTCCTATGATGCTGTAGTTTAAATTTTTCTGCACCATGTTCGTAAAGCTAGTTCAGCATTTAAACATCTCTGATATGTAGCTATTTCTAAATTATGATATTGGCTCTTTCAAAAATTTGACTTTCTTTTTAGCAGAATTGTTTTAGTAGTGACTGATAATGAAATGGTTAAATTTATGTTTGGCCAGAGTGGTAGGGTCAAAAATTCCTTGATAGAATGGTGGAATTTAGATGGTAGCAATGTGGCTTATAGGGGAAGATAACATAAAGTAGTATTGAATGGCTAAATTTGGGATGAGGAGGGAAATAGGTATTAGAAGGACAAAATTCAAAATATAAAGTAAAAATAAAACCAGTTCTCTCAGTTCAATTTGACAGAAAAGGCACATTGAGTGGTGGCTCAGTATATTACTGCTATCAGGAATAAAATATGTTAATTGACTTAGTAGCCTGGGTTTTAGAAAGTAGCAGTTTCTAGTACTGTAATGAAAGGGAATTCAGAGTGATTATCCATTTTGCTACAGGTTCCTTTAACATAATTCTTTGACCCACCAGCAACTGTGAAATTCACTAAACTTAACAGCTAAAGTTAGCCTCAGAAAGGGGGGGTTGTGTTGAACAGAGTAGACAAATGCAGGAGGGCAGGAAGACATGTAGGTGTATGCAAAGGTAGTGTTTGGAAACTGAATATAATAGGCAGTTTCTTGGAATTTGATTCAGTACCCAGAAAAGTGAGTTAGAGATGATCAATGTGTAAGAGAAGTAACCTTATTCAGAGCCCCTTGATAAATAAACACATTAATGCACTTTACATTTTGCTTATAAAGGTTTTGCAATATGATAAAATTGAAAGTGCTTTTTGCTTTCATTTCTTAGGTACATCCAGGTTATGGATTCCTTTCAGAGAACAAAGAATTTGCCAGATGTTTGGTAAGTTTGTAATGAATCAAACACTGTTAACTTATATTTCAGAAAGAAGTGTAGTGGTGTGGCTTTTGTAAATGTAGGTAGTGGTGAATTAAAGAATTTTAATTGATCCAACAATTCTTTGAAAAATGTTTGTGAAAAGTGAAGAATTTTTATTCTATAAATAACCCAAGTTTTGATGGGAAGAATAATTTAAAAAATGGAAAAATTCACCATTATACTCAGTGATTGACGCATAGTTTATCATTGATTGCATGGTTTTTGAATTTTAAAATTAAAAACTTCAGATTTTTATCTGTAAATATGTCAGGGAGTTCAGTGACTTAATATAGTGATTTAGTTATTATACCATGGTGCACTCTATCCAGTGCTCAGCCTGCAGCAATCTCTGCCCTTCCCACACAACCCACCTCCTTCCCTGACTTGCTCCCCCGCAGGTTAGCTACTGAAACCTGCTCCTTGCTAGTGTGAGATTGTTGGTATCCTTGAAGGCAGCAGTTTTATGTTGAAAAAAGCTATTTGCAGAGTTTTGATTTTTGAGATTAATATTTGGCTTATTAAAGTTAATTTTAATAACCCTCCTCCAATAATTATTATATTGTGAGCATAAATGTGAACCCAGAATTAAGATTCTATTTTTCTTTCCTTTATTGTACATTGTGCCATTAAGGATCAAGTCTTACTACCTCCTCTATTTTGGAAAAAGTTTTTTTATTATGATCATAGTGTCCTCTTGATATTATTATTCTGTTCAGGCGAATTAACCTATATTTGCTATTATTTCTAGGTGTATTTATAACTGTATTCAAGATGGTACTGAAACCTTAGTTTTTAGGTACTAAAATATAATTTTGATTAGTGTTTGTGTAGTTTTTGGTGATTAGATCCATTATACCAGGTACTATATTGTCTTAATTTATTATCATAATACATTATACTTATATGTTTCTTTGGTGCACTTGCATTTTGTTCTTCCATGGATTCAAAATTATTTATGAATGTAATCATTTTCTGGATGAAATTTCCACTTAAAATTGATAAATTTAACTTGAAACGATTTTTAAGATCCTAGAATTCTAGCTTAGAATTGTCTATTTTAGCCAACTTATTTTATGGGTTAAAAACTAAGGCCTGAAGATTAAACTAATGCCTTAAGAGGTGTCTGGAGAGAATAAATTCCATAGACGTATCCAAAGGTCCAGATTTACCAGGTTTGATGCAGCATATCCAAAGTTTCTTGTTTATACCCTTTTTTCTTTTCCTTGGATTTTGACTGACATTCTGTCATTATAAAAAAAATAATTTTAACATAATATTTACATTTAAATGTGTGTGTAAATATAATGTATTAAATTTAAGTTTGTATAGATGAGGAATCAACAAACTACAATCGACAGGGCAAATGCAGTCTGCTGTCTGTTTTTGTAAATAAAGTTTTATTGAAACACGGTCATGCTCATTCACTTATGTGTAATTTATGGCTGCTTTTGTTCTATAATAGCAGTTGAGTAGTTGTGACAGGGACTGTTTGGCCTGCCAAGCCTAAGTAATATTTGCTATATAGTCATTTATAGAAAAAGTTTGGGAACTCCTGGTATACATGAATATCTGAGTCTCCAGGTAGTTAAGTGACATGGCTAGTATATTCATTTATACATTTATTCAATCATTAAAAAAATGCTTATTTGGTATCCATGTCCAAGGCATTTGAGGAGGATATAAAAATGAATCAAATGTGGATCCTCCTTATGAGGGGTTTACAGTCACAGTGTGAGTAAGTCAGGTATACAAATGACTTCAATTCAGGGAACAAAATATTGCAAGAAAAGATCACATTCTCTGCAAATGAAGATAAGAAAGATTATTTCCATCTGGGATTTTACATTAGAGAAGAGAGTGTAGAATATATGGCCACCTTTTTTTCTTCTTAATCTTCTCCATTTCACTTTATCCATGGTACGCCTCTGCCAAGCCTGACTACATGCTATTCACAAGCATGGCCCGTTATTTCCTATTGCATGCTTTTCTTCACTCTTTCCTCGGTGGGCACACCTGTCCTTTCGTGCAATATCCGCAGCTACTGTCTCTCCTTTTTTTTTTTTTTTTTTTTTTGGCAGCTGGCCTGTACACAGATCTAAACCTTTGACATTGGTGTTGCGAGGCTGTGCTCTGATTTTAAGAGCACTTTAAAAATTAAAAAAATGTCTTATTTGGTATTCTACTCACCATACTGCATTAAAATTGTATCTGTATTTTAATCTCCCCTTGAGACAAGAGACTTAGTTTTATAAGTCTTTGCTTCCCCTTTGTCATCTGTCCTAGTGATTTCTACACAGTAAATTTTTGTTTATGGAAAGATTAAATAAATATTATTAGAATAAGAATCATAAAACATTCAATTTGTAAGAAAACTTTCCTCTTATCACCAGAAAGACTGTTTTTGTAACTAGAAGGCAGTATTGCTGTGTGCTTTTGCTCACTATGAAAATATGCATTTAGTGATAAGTAGCCCATTTCTTTTTTTCTGTGCATCAGGGCTAGATTCTTATTTGGGATCCAATTTCTCTAGCATTAAAATATTTTTGCATCAGAGTGAACCATTTAAGATGCTCCTTTTTAGAATATCTGGCCCTTGTTGATGAGTTCAATAAAAATAACACAATGAAATGAAACTGCTTACAGATTTTGTTGTGCCGTATAAACATTGTTCTCGTGGTTGGTGGACAACCATTGAACTTTGGTAGTTTTTATCCTAACTGGGTATATTCTTAGAAATATGATGATTTCCAATGTCATGGTAGTGGATTGCCACATTGGTGGCAACTTTTGGTGACGAACTCTAGCAGAAGATTTAAAATCTTGTTTTTTTATTTTATTTTTTTTAGTTTGACATACTATGGAGTTCCTTTATTGTAATGCGGTATCTTATGTTTAAAATTTAATCATATATGGAGGTTTTTTTTTTTCCCCCGTTAGTTTCTGGTTCTGTTTACTTTATTGCCATAAAAAGACTTGTGTAATTTTTTTTGTTTGTAGAAAAACTATTTGTGCTTTGTCATCTGATACATTGTTTTTGCTTACCTATGACTACAATGACTTCTTGATTTTTTCTGAATAATTGCTATATATATATATATGCTTTATAAAGTATACAGTAAGCCAGATTCCCCCAAATGTAAAAATATATTAAACTTTATAAGACTAATAATTCTTTATGTTCAATTTATATGAAGTGGAATTGGATTACATACGATCCCTATTGTATTTGAACAAAATCATGTCTCTTTGTTTGTTATTGCTTAAATAATTTATGGAAAAACAAAGCTATAAATAATCCTCATAAAGAATAGCAATTTTAAATAATTCTAATGTGCTGAGCCAACAGATTTTATTTCCAAATTGTTTTCCATTCTGTATTTCCCTCTGGGCTTCTTTTATTCCTAGCAGTAAAGGACCGAACAGCAATGGGAGACCTTAAGGACTGTTGTTATTAAGAAAAGAAATTATTTCAGAGTTTATAAAAGAGCTTTGAAAAGTAAAACTACCTGCTCCTTGAAAAAAGGGATATTGGCTTAAAGAGATTTCATAGTCTTCCTAGTTCTCTTTCTGGTTTTTCTATGGATTATTTTTTAATCCTATTATCATATCATTTTAGTGCAACACACCATTATAAATTACATTATTTAGTTTTATGAGAAATTTATATGTTAGATTTAATAATTTATGTTTTGTGTTTGGGTCTTATCTGTGTATTTAAAAGATATACGTATAAGATAGTGAGTTCTATCCAGGATGCTCAGCATTGAAGGCATAAAAGTGAACTGTGGAAAGCAGTTGAGATTGTGTTGTTTTATCTCCTTTCCTTAGAGAGTTTGTAACAAGATAAGGAATGTAACTATTGTAAAAACAATAATGAGATGTGATTTTTTTTTTATTCATTGGATTAACCAAAAAAATTAAAAAAAAAAACATCTATGACATCTGGTGTAGGCAAGGATACGGGGAAGTAGTTTTGTTCTTTAGACTGTAAATTGTTTCAGCCTCTTATTCCCCCAGAAATTTGCTAATAACTATCAAAATTTAAAACTTGTATATGTTTTTTGACTCAGCAAAGAATCTTAAGACTCTCACCTGCAAAGATGTACTTTAAAAAATGTTGTAAGATTTTTTGTAATAGCACAATTTGGAAATAGCTCAGTGTTTCATCTGTAAGATGAAGAGAATGACAGCTACCCTGCAGGGTTGTTGTGAAGATTAGAGACAACACATGTAAAGAACCTAGCACAAAATCTGACATTGCCAGGAAAATCATTTTAATCATTATAGGTGATACTAATACTACTTTAAGAGATGAGGCGAGCAATGAAGTTTTAAGGAGAATGAGATAGTTAAAATTAGTGTTTTTAGGAAACTAATCTGATAGTTTTCATGTGTATTTTGGGAGTTTAGATTTTTTTTTTCCTGTTGAGATTAATAATTTGATGTAATACACAAATGACACTAGTTTACAAAATACTTTCACATGAATGACCTCATTTAATTCACACAAACATTGAAGCTGGATATCATTAACTCTGTCAACAAAAAGAAAACTGAAAATCAGGTGCATTGACTTGCCAGCAATCACACTATGCTCACAGGTAACAGAATCAGGACTTGACCTAGGGTTCTCACCATATGAGTACAGAGCACCTAAAAAGTACTATACCCTTACCTGGCTTAGTTGGAAAGAGTGAGAGCATTCAAATAGTAACAGAGAGAGAGAGAGTTGTAATAGAGATGTTAAGATCAAATCACTGTAATGAACTTAGTCAAAGCCCGTAGAATATTCTCCCTGCTTTGATAGGAATGTAGTCAGCACATGATCAGGTTGTAGGAAAATGACTGTTATATAGAGAGAAACTTGAAAAAAAGTCTTTTGCTAGGTTATCGGTCCTCAGTTATGAGGCTGCAATCCATGGTGTGTTATAGTTGAAAAGTGTGTGTAAGCACTTTGTAACTAA